GGGGGGGAATCTGTGTTTATATGTGCTGTGTCTGTCTGTATCCCCATGTCTTCTTCAAGTCACTGCCATGAAACACCTGAGCTTTTCACATGGTCTCCCCTGCTATCTTTACCAGTTCTGGAATCTTAAATTTTAGTATCAGTATTATAATATTTGAAACATTTATTATTTTTACACATTATGCGTAATTTTACACATTTTACATATAAATTAAGTGGATTTTTTAAATAGCTAACAAAGTGTTCAAAAAAAGTCTCGGTCTTTTAACTATTTGCCCAATTAACCCAAACATCTGGCTCATTTTTATTCCCCAGCTTTGTAGTTCTTATCATAAAAGCATAATTTGACATCGACCTTTAAACTTGATAATGAAAGATTCAACCTGGGCCATCCTTTATATGGGAACTTAATTCTTTTAAATACAATCATTATTATATATTAAAAGAATGGCATTTTTAAAAGCATTTTAAAGGGAAGATTAAAAATGTTTTAAAGTCTCAGTAAAAAATGTTAAAATCTCAGTTCAGGGTTGGAGTCATCATCACCATCATTTTATATTTTTCAAGGGAGATGACCAACTTTTAAATTTTAACCAAAAGATTTAATAGTGAGTTGAAAGTTAACAAGCTCATACTTACATTATGTTCCAGGTATTGTATTGACTCATTTATATTTTCTAAGAACTTACAGGTACTTTTATTACTCCCCTGGATAATAATGCACAGAGTGGTTTAGTCACTTGCTAAGGATGGGGTTTGAACCTGGGCAGTTTGGGGCCAGAGCCCATATTTTTAGCCTCTGTACTCCCAGGCTGTGTCAGCTTTTATGACAGGTACTTCATTGTCTAGTTTCCCACTTCCCCATTTGGTTGGATATGAAGAGAAGATGAAAATAGTACAAACATATTTGGGTATCCTGTATTGCTTAAAATCATGATATTTGCTCTAAAAATACACACCTTCTAACTGGCAATGGTACAAATATAATAGAAGCCTACTTCTTATTCTAAAAGTCTAGAATAGGTGTTCTTGATCAGGGAATGGCTCTTTTCTGAAGGGCAATTTGTGAGCCCATGGCCCTCTAACTTGTGGCTTTACCATCTTTAGTAAGTGGCTTTTTTTCAGTTGTGTTTGCTTCTGGCATACCAAGGAGAGCTTTGGAGTACAGGAGGGAGGTAGCATGGCCTGGCCTGGAAATGGCAGGCATCACTTCTCACTTCTCTTCACCTCCGTGCGCTGGAGCTCCACCTTATGGCCACACCTAACCACACCGGAGCTAGGGCCCCTCATTATCCAGGAGGCACCGCACATACTGAACAGCTAGCAGGCATTACCACAGTATCTCGTAATAACATGTTTCAAATATCTTCGAAGAAAATTATGGTAGTTCTTAATGAAATGTTAGCTACCTTAATGGTATTTTAGGGATATGAAAGGCAAATTTGTATTCCTAAGGGTAGTGTCATTTTCCTGTCTTTTAAGTACATGTGTGTTTTTAACCTCCAATTATTTTCATTTACAGGGCCCTTTAAAAGGACGCAGAGTTGAAGGAATTCAATATGAAGACATTTCTAAACTTGCTTGAGTTTGAAAATTTGTGAACATATTAAAATCCTAAAGCACCAAATTGGTGTTCACCAAGGCATTACAAGACTCTACTGTGTTAGGGTGTTTCTTTTGTATAAAACAAATGGATTTATGTAAATGTTACTGTATAGTTGTTTAGCTAAACTTATAGAAAAATCTAATTATGTCTCTTGAAATATCAAACTATGTAAATTTGTTCTTATTTTTCTTTATAATTTCTTGATTTTAAAAAATTTTCATTAAAAGAATATCATAAAGCGTTTTATATAAGACAATTTAGAACCATATAATTAGAGGAAATTCTTCATATACTCTAAATTTATATTTTTATCAGTTTAGTAGTAATGGTGAACTATAAATATAATTACATTTTTTAAAAATCACACTAAATAGCAGCTTTATTGAGATATAATTCATACACCACACATATCACCCATTTAAAGTGTACAATTTCAGTGGTTTTTAGTATATTTACAGAGTTGTGCAACCATCACCACTATCTAATTTTAGAACATTTTCATCACCCCCAAATGAAACCCTGTTCCCATAGTTACTCTCCATACTCCCTCTTTCCAGCCCTGGCAACAGCTAATCTACTTTGTGTCTCCAAGGATTTGCCTGCTCTGGGCATTTCATGTAAATAGAATCATACAGTATGTGGTGTTTTATGACGGGCTTCTTTCACATCTCATAATGTTGGCAAGGTTAATCCATGTTGTGGCATGTTTCAGTATTTCATTCCTTTTTACTGCTGAGCAGCATTCCGTTATATGGATATACCACACTTTTTAAACCGTTTCATCAGTTGATGGACATTTCGGTTGTTTATACTTTGGGGCTGTTATGAATAATGCTTCTGTGAACATTCACATACAGGATTCTATGTGAACATTTCAATTCCTGGGAGTAGAGTTGCTGAGTCACATTATAACTCAGGTGATACTGTGCTGAATATTTTATGGAACTACCAGATTGTTCCAAAGTGTCTGCACCATTGTACAATCCCACCAGCAGTGCTGAACTATACATTTTTAAATAAGTAGAACAGTATGTTATGTAGGGATGCAAAATACAGGAAACCTACCTCACACTTGCTTATGCACACAAAAAAAGGAAATTTATAGTTCACAGAACTGAAAAGGGGCAGACCCTAGCTTCACGTGAGTGGGATTCAGAGTGAACAGCCTTGTGTGGCTGGGTCATACTGGGTCTTTGGACTCACTTCTGACTAGGATAAGGCTGAAGAGAAGATGCTACTTTTTATGGTATTAAGTGATCCTTTAAAGCATGTAGAATGCTTTGAATAAGACCAGACCAGTAAGTACTAAAATAATTTCTGATTTGTAGATCAATTTTACCATACATTGATTGAGACCCTCTAATTCCCCTTTTGATTTGTTGCTTTGGATTTCCAGGTTCCCAACTCTAAGAAACCTTGTTTAATTTTCAGTATATTAAAAACAAACAAATTTATGACAGGAATGATCTGAGCCAAGAGTCTGGTTTTTCTGAAACCTAGGCTCTCATTTTCCTGACAATAAGGCATATATATTTAATTTGTTTAATGGAAACTATTTAGATTGATACTTAGGAGAAGCTTTGAAGACAGGCTGCATAAATGCTAAAGATGATTAATATATCTGACAAATTCCAGCCCTGTAATACCCCAGCTCTATACAAAATTCAATATTGATCAATTATCAGTGGGTTGCAAGATGCTCCACAAAATAAACAAACATAATACAGGCAATTGTCAAGTTCCCTTCATCGCTGAGTGCATAATACTTTCAAAAACTAATCAAGAGGTAGACAATGGACTAGTTCCTTTCTTCCAATGATTCCCATTAATTTGGTTCCTTTGGAATTCAAAATTGATTATTTGTAATTCAAAATTAATTACATAGAAAAGGCATATTTCTGGTCTCAAGGGAAGCATGTGAACCGTATTAATAAGGTTATTTTACAGGCAATGAATTTTAAAACACCAGCTGTTGATAGTTTTGATAATTTGAAGAACATAGAGTTGATTTTAAATCTAGTTGCTTTTGATAGGACTCTTGCTCAATATCATGCATATATATACCCCAACATTTTCATCATTATTTTAAGAACAATGGAGCACATTTAAAATACTAGGAATTAGATTAAACTTACCTAAAGGTCAAATTTTAAAGTCAAAATTTTTACCAAGTAACAATTATAAGAACCCACTTTTGGAGCCTGTGTTGAATATTAGCATTTTAAGATTAGTATTTTTGAAATAGGAAATGGAAAATACGTAGTTTTTTTTTTAATGTATCATAGGTCACCAATTTTCATAGAAGAATAAAACTACCTGGCCCTGGCCTGGTAGCTCAGTTGGTTAGAGTGTCATTCTGATAAGCCAAGTTTTCGGGTTTGATTCATGATCAGGTCACATACAAGAAATAACCAATGAATCAAAGTGGAACAACAAAGCGATATTTCTGTCTCTCTAAAATCAATCAATAAATTTAAACAGACACAAAATTAAAAGGCATTGTCATTTATCTCCTCAGTACTGAGATTAGATTATAGAAATAATCGTATTTAATATTTTACAATTCTGTCAAAAGATAATTTTTTTCAAATATAGGTTGGTTATTCCAAGGAGAGGTAGTTTTGTCTGCACTCTAAAATGAAAATGATTTTAATCAAATTATGGAGAGAAAATTTCATAAAAATACCTTAAACAAATTTTTTTTTTTAAATTTACCATTTTAACAATTTTTTAAAAAATATATCTTTATTGATTTCAGAGAGAGGAAAGGAGAGGGAGAGAGAGAGAGAAACATCAATGATGAGAGAGTCATTGATCAAGCCCACAACCAGGGCATGTGCCCTGACCAGGAATCGAACCCTGATCGCCTGGATCCTAGGTTGACGCTCAACCGCTGAGCCATGCCCAGCCGGGCTTTAAACAAAATTTTTAAGTGTAATTTTATCAGTTTGGACTTTGAAAATGTGTGCATTTTAGGAATTTA